AAGTCTTACACCATCTGGACATGACTTCTTGTGAGTGCTTGTGAGTTTAAAATATCTGTAGGTGCTGAGGCATCTGAAGGTTCAGTGGCAAATGCAATTTGTACAGAAGAAGCAGCTGAGTCCCAGATCAGCATTTTACTAACTGCTAAAAGGAGATACTCCTAAGGAGGGTGGAGCAGACAGATTAAGCTTCTTTCTGTTTAGAAAAATAAGCCTTTATAAAAAGAAGTTTTCTGTTATTTTCTTCCCTTCAGCCTATTGTTTGCATAAAGCTAGCCATAGGTGTGTGAGCACAGGAAAAATGTGGTTGTGCAAGAATATTGGCTGCACTGATAGTACAGCACTCTTCACTAGGAGGAATTGAGAAAAAGCTGGCTGTAAACTGCTCACAGTGAAAAAGGTTAAATACAGAGCTTTAAGCCACGCAAAAGCAGGATGCAGAAAGAAAAGGACCTGAGGAGGGCTTGTAACAGCGATGTCCTACAAAGTAACCAGTGAATCATCACACTGACTACTTGATATCATTAAACCCCATCTCTCTGGGCCTGTTTATTAGAAAAATCTCATATTGTGTCTCATCGCTTTCACAGCTGTACAACACCAGTCCCTTGAAAATTCCTTAGTGTGCCTCTGATCTCAAAATACCACCTCTGCATATCTTTTGCCGGAGCCTTGTTTCTATGTGCTTTGGTGGAAGGACAGCATAATGCTACTTAGTATAAAATGTACCTGGCTGGTGAGAACATAATAAAGAATTTGTTGTGCTGCTATATAGCTGAGCCGAGACATAAGACAATGCTGAGATGAGACAACGCTGAGAACTCTTCACTAAAGGAACTAAAATGTAGACAAAAATAATTTCTTACAGGTCAGCTCATTAAGAACGTTACCAAAGTACAGGGAACTGGCTCCCGCCTTACTTTTTTTCCATTCCTTTTTTTTTTTCTTTTGAAGTTGAACCAAATTTGCTTAATTAACTTGGGCATCAAAAATGGTCTTTATTTCTTCCTTCATATTATTTTCTATAAAAATAGATCTGTGAGAGCAAGGAAGAGTACCTGGCAAAGCAATGGGCATGTTTAGAAAGAAATGACCCCTGAGGTGGGGAGGGCGGGGGGAGGGAAAGGCTGCTTTCTGAGGCAAAATAGTTATTCTTGCTCCCCCTGGCCCTATCCTTGAGATAAAGCAAGTTTTAAGGCACAGCACAGGCTAGGGGTTCCCAGAGGCAGGAGGGGCGGGACTTGCAGCTGCGTTGCCTTGCGTGGTGGGGCAGGAACTGATGGCTCCTGGCTGGGCAGAAATGAGGCCGGGGCCTGGGCCTGGGCAGGGTGGGAAGAGGCCCCGGGGAGGTGGGCAGGGACAGGGAGGGCTGTCAGTGATCTTGCCACCCTGACAACAAGTAACTCCTTCAATGGAAATGCACTGAGGACTTATAAAATGCATGTCTATCTTAATAAATAACTCAACCAATTGGTTTTCTGTCTGGAAGTGAGACAGATCCTATCTGAATAAAGCATTCCCTTTTGCAAAATAGAAACCTGAGAGGAGAATAGAAAGCTATAAGCAGCCGAGCCTGTCAGATGCTAAACATATTCGCAAAAGCACAAGGGCAAACATTTGAGTATCCAGCCTGAACGTCATTTTTGTTGTTGCTGGACATCCACAATTCGCACTGCCTTTTATCTTGGTAGAGGATGTACCCAGTGTCACAGGAAGTGGAGGCCAAGCAAAAACAGAATGAGGACCTTACAGAGTCCATGCTGTCGCTGCAAGCAATCCTGGCATTTTTTGCGCCCTTCGCCCCACCCAAATGATAGTTTCACAAGCTGCAACTGTGCCCTGCAAAGCATCTTCTGGAATCTCTTCTGCACGTGTTTCCTTAACCATGTCAGTGGGTGAGCACTTACGGCTGAGAGCTGCCTGCGGTCTTTTTTTTTTTTTTTTTTAAATACCATTTTCATCTGTGAATTTATCTAATACTTTCTGTACTATTTTCCTTGACAAAGAGTTGGTACTCCTAACGGTCCCTATTATATTTACACTGTCCTTTTTCAGAGTAGCTGTAATTGAGTATGATGACTTGACCTGGGGCTTTCTGGCTGTCACAGTGGTTCTGAAGTACTTTAGCACTTCTCTGGAAAATATTATTTAACTGTGATAAAATAGCCATTTGTGGTTTGGGCAAGGTTACGTTTGTATTTCAGTGCTACTGCTGATAAGAAAGGTGTCAAATGGATGCTATCAGTTGTGTAATAGACTATGGTGTAGCCCACAATATTTCTTTTTTTTGCTGACAAAGATTGTCTAAGAAATTCCTGCCTCTCCATCCTACCCTCTGCCCTGGACATTCATTCCCATCTCCATGCGGCAATGTGCTTAAGGTGACAGTTTGTGGGGCTCTGCTGAAAATGAGACGTGGTCTGAGTTGCATTAGAAAGCACAGTATCTTTGAAATCCACATGATTTCAAGATGTAGTGTAGGTCTAGGCGTGTAGGTTGACAAATCTTTAATGACCTGAGCAAATACTTACTGGCTTGGTAAAAACTTAATCCAATCCTATATGTAATCTGTCCTCATAGATGTATTCAGCGGGGGTTTAAAAAAGGAACAAGCTCATAAGACTGTATTTCAAGAAGCAACCACAAGTTGTTCTGGAAGCAATTTACTGCTGACCAAACTCTCAAATAACAACAGTTAGGGAGGATGTATGCATAGTAAAGGAGATTCTTAAAAATGAAGAATGAATGTCTTTGCATTTTTAACACCTTTTTGAATCTGACATACTACAGCTTATATTTCATTTTTTGAAGTATTGAACATTCACTGAATTGTAACTTACAGAATCTGAGCACAAGTCCTTTTTTTTTCTTTCCAAGTGATTCCAAATTAAAATAGTATTATGTTTACTCAAAATGGAATCAGAATTATAGCAAACAGTATTACTGCTTATTGGTCAGCACTTCCGGTCAGCCTCCTGGTTCTGCTAGCCTTACTGAATCTGGAAATGATCCCACTGCACCTAATATACCTTTTCGAGGCCTGAGTAATATTCCACATAAGGATAGCTGTTCATATAACCACTAGACCAAGCAAATGTGGGGGCACGATGACACTTTGTGATTCAGAAGAAGCTCATACATGACTGAGAGACATTTTCAGCTCCTAAGGGCTAGAAGTAGGACTGCAAATTTGATCTAGTCCCCATTAAATAGCTGTGTGGAGTCTTCCTCCTCCACCCATTACCTTCGGGGTAAAGGGAGAATTATTTTGTTCTCTGCTGGGAAAAGAAAGTGGAAGAAGGGTCCAGCTGATGAGTTTCTTTCTTTTTCTCCTCGGTGTTGGATATTAGATCTCTTTCCTGTGAGAGGGAATTTTTTTCTTAGCAAGGGAAGGAAATATTCCCAGATGAGTGGATCTTGGCAAAACTAGGAAAGAACTCACGTTTTTCCAGCCCAAATTAAATAGAAATCTCATAGGTAACCTTCTCTTCTTAATTTTGAATCTACAATATTTGAAAAGGCTTAGGAAACACATATTCACTCTATCTCTAAACAGTACCATAGCTAATTAAAAAAGGTGAATGCAAAATGAACTCATTTATATTCAGTAGTCTGAGAATAATTTTCCTTGGTTCTACTTGAGGACACTGTACTCTGCCACAAGCACTAGAAATTTTTCAGGTTCTTCAATTGCATTTGCGCTTCTCTTTTAAGAATAAGGTTTTCCAAAATGATACCAACAAAATATGTCTTACCGTTTTTAATTTGATTTTCCTGAGTACCCTTGAAGAAGCGGGATGAAAGGAAAACAAGCGTGTCTCGACAGCGTCATCTAGTGGCAAAACACATACGAGGCCCGCTACATGTTTAGCGAGCAGCTGCCGCTCATCCGAACAGCTAGTCAGCACCTCCTTTACACACTGATTAATGATTGATCCACGAATTCGTCCTTTTTTGGGAGGTCTCCCTGTACATGGTGTGCAGACTGTTTTCATTCAGAACTGACCGGAAAGTGCTTCTAGCAGTTTGCACAGAAGATGATGAGGCCATTCTTATTGCGCCAGGGAGGGGTCTACGCTTTTGAGCCAGCTGCTAAGAAAAGTTTGCCATTTGCACATCTATGTAATGAAAACATAAAGGGAGATGGTATCTTCCAAGAAAAAAGTATTCTTTAACGTAGTCTGCTATGGAAAGTCATAAAAATGAGAATAAAGGTTATGAATTTGTGTTTCGTAGGGATCTGGTAAAGTAAATGGAGAAGCATGTGTTTTCCTCTGAGTTAGCGGAGCTAATAGGAAGTATTCAACCATCACTAAATTAAAAAAGAAGACATATAGGACAAAAATCACGGTATGTATATATGTATACATACATACATATATACATATACACGCACACACATATATATATTTCCCAAACAGCTTAGCACTGCTGATATTTGAGCTACTGTGCTTTGGTATGTTCACCAAATTGCAAAAACCCAGCCTACCAGTCAAGGTGTGGATCTTCATCTTCGATTCGTAATCTGTTAGCGATGTATCTCCTGGGTCAGAAGACGACAGAGGAATGTATTTTTACACAACGTATACAGTTGCCCAGCAGCACTGAGAATTTTGAAATGAATGTAAGTATAGGAGTTAGCTTGATGCTTGGGAGAAACACTTTAATGAAAAGCAGATACAATTATGAGTATATTGAGATACACCACAAATATATTCTTTGGGCTCCCTTTCTAAGAGGTCTTAATCTCAGATAGGCCCAAAAACAAGTCCTTGAAGCTATTATCCATTTGGGAAAGAAAGTAGAAGAGAACCGAGCATTTTTTCTACTATTTATTGTTCAAACCATGATGTCTTACAGACGTGGATAATTTTTTGGCCCACAGTTCCATTAAAACTTCCATTTTTTATTTGCAATCTGAGACTCATTTCTGAGGGCAAAGCATCCTACAATGATAGTCAAAACTATGAAAATCTGAAGAAAAATCATTTTAAATTACAAGATCACCAAACTAAAAACTTAAAACTGTGAAACAGAAAAGTGCACACTTCTTAATGGACTAATCTTCTCTAGGAGGAACCTTTCTTTAGGAAAAATATTTAAAAATAATAAATTGTAAGCCTTTCAAAACTCATTTAGTAATTATTTGGTAAGTTTTTAGTATAACGGAATAAAATTCTGGGTCTGTTGCTATGCCACATTGGAATATGTAATTTTAGGGAACATTCATTAAGAGATCTTTCTGCCAAATACTGGAGGAATTAAGGAGGGCAACTGTTCTTAATCTGCTGATGGTCATCCACAGGACATTGACTACAAAAAAGAGAGAGTAAATGTCTTCTTGACTGGAATTCATGTAGCAAGAATCTTTTCCCTGCAAAAGCCTTTTCAGTAAGACAATGTCGGTAGACAGATACTACGTTTTATAAGACGAACTTGTCTTTTGTCTGTTGTTAGAATACTATGGCTGCAACAATAATACCTTTAAAATCACCAGTAATATAACCTGTTTCTGAACTCATTAAGCAATATCTTGTTTCAGACACTTGCTGAGTTACAGTTTAAGAAGAGTCTGTTTAAAGAAGCTATTGACTGCTTTCAGTATTGCTAGAAGAGGTATAAACGTTATAGGAAAAGCATTGCATTTTCATGGCTGACAGACCTGCAAATTCTTCAGGAGGCAAAGACAACGGATCCATAAAGTCCACAAAATTTCTGACATGACTAAGAGAGAGAGCAGGTTTGGCAGAGCTCGCATATTTGAAGACATTTTTATTTTGCTTAAAAACAAAACTTGTTCAAAGCAAAACTACATTGGGTAGGCTACTTGGCTGATGCCTTGATCTTGATCTGTTTTCCCATGGGTATCCAAGGTATTTCAGTCTTGTAAACTAACTAACATAAACCACAGCGTCCAAGAGCTGATCAGGAGTTATTGTTATCTTTGCCAAAATATAAGTAGGAACAAATCCCTCATCAGAATTCAACACTATGCCAAAAAATACTTCATCTTCATTATAAGTTCAGCAGCAGTGACTATTACTACAGCACAGATTACATAGAGCACATTAAAAAGAAAATTATTTCAAATCAAATATAAGTATACTTTTTGCTCTTACTTATTACATGTAAGTTAGAGGGATCTTGGATCAAAATGCAAAAAAATAAAGAAAAGATTTGTATAGATATCTATGATTTTGAATATATCTAAGCCATCTAATGCAAAATTTTGGTTAAAAAGTCTACATGGAAGATTATCATTTGGAGACTTACCTCTAAATTTATTTGAATTTCATTAGAGTATCTCAAAATATGTAGTAACAGGCAAAGGAATGGATGCAACTGTGATGGGGAGAAAGCAGAAGCCTCTACTCCTTTATATGACTGGGAGCTCAACACTGCCCGAACCACTGCTAGTAGAGGAGACAAAAGTCTACTTCAGTATTGATACCTGGAAGCAAAAAATTTGAAATAATCAGAAATAATTACATTAAACTTGGGATTACTTTATAAAAACTTATAAATTATTTGAGTCTATGAAATCCATCAAAAATTATGCATGCTCTCTGTGAAACCAGAAAAAAAATCATGCAAACGATCATTTCCATCATGACTGCTAATGAACCATTTCACCTAATTTAATTTCAACACAATTTTAAAAGCATATGAAAATGCAACCTTTTATAATGCAAACATGCTCATCACAAATAACTTGAAAGGCTATGACCATGGATCATAAGAAAATATAGTGTGTATTTACACATAGTAGAATGGCAGTTCATAGATATGTTGCTACTTGGGTTTTGCTATTAGCATCCTGAATAGAAACTCGGATACATGTATTGAAGTCACTACAACTAAAGTAGAAAGCTATTAATCTGAAATTCTGAAATATTTTATTTAAAAAAACTAAACATTTCCTAATACATTATTCTGTCTAGAATACAACTTACATATGTATGACCTTTTTAAAGTGAGCATAGATGATAGCTGGATAGATTGGAATTTCCTGGGAGGAAAAATGAACTTTCTAGAAAGTTTTTTTCCACAATTTGGGATAGCTTTGTTTTAAAGAATGTAGAAAGAAACTCTACTCTACTTTTATATTTGTAATTTCATCACACACTAAAGCAAAAATAAATACTGAAATATTTAGCATTTCTTATACAGGCTTTCATTAAACAACCACAGTCATATTTCCTTCCATTTTGCAGTGCAGTCAATGGTGAGAGACAGGCTCATGCAAGTGGTAATTTAAAGCAATTAAGTTAAACTCCTGTTCTGAGCAGTCCCAGTAGAGGAGCCTATTCTCACTGATTCTACGTGGAGACACGTCTCAGCTTAGATCACCTTGCATGCCCAAAGGGAGGAAGTGTGACTAGTCTTTCTTTCTGACACAATGGCTTTCTCGAAGATATTCGATAAGTTGCTAGCACAGCTGAGGCTACCTCAACAGAATAGCCTTGAGCTCTTGGCCTGCACTCAACATCTTCTGATACTGTGACCATTGCATACGCAACCATTAACGACATCAACTAGAGAAAAAGCTCAGAATATGAAGAAAACAATGGTACTATAAAGTTTTCTTTACAGAATGACTCTGCTAAGCCTGTGAGCTGCTAACCAAGTAAAACTGTGGCATCATCTGAGTGTCAGAAGAGCTTTTAGACTGCAGATGGCACTGCAAGGTAAGTGGAAAGGTGTGTCTACTAGCTGTGGAGATTTTATTCTCTTAAGGTTTTTAATCTCCCCAGTACTCTTAAGTCACTCAGAAAACTGAGAAAGAAGTAAAATAAGGCCAGAGGAGACCTGTCCAGAGGTAATGTAAAGGGAAGGCCATGCTGTCTTTGTAAACCTACCATTTAGTGCTGCTCTGTCCCATTTTGGGAACTTTCACGTACCCAATACAACAATCTGAGTTCTGTAGAGACCCTTACGTTTCACCAGGTGGTGAGTCACAGCAGATGTGGGTGGGAGCAGTGACTCCAGCTGCTCCCAGCTCCCCTGGGTCACACAGCCACAGCAGGACAGACCAGGTCCCCAGACATCACTTCAGCTGGGCCATGAACTCCTGCAGAAGGTATGAATTCAGCCAGCCAAGAGCGCAGCAGCAGACTCCAAGGAACAGGCTGCATGCCCGTGTCCCCCATGCTGTGAAGCGCATCGTGACGTGCTACACTTCACACAGCACATGGCAGTACATGGGCACGCCGGATGTTGCTGCTGCCAGTCTCTCAGAGGGCCAAACAAGGGTGTCAGACACCTTGTTCAGGGATAGCACTAACACAGACCAAACATAACATCTGCGCGTTGTGCCAGCTGCTCTGTAAACAGGATGCTGACCTACTCTTTACAAAAATTTTTTAAAAACAACTTTTTTTTCTTTTCATCATCAGTACGTGACAAGAAAGGCAGTATCTCTCCCTCTGTTCCCACAAACTCAGAAGTTATTAACAGATCCTCCATGCCTCCTAGCCCCCATCATGATCCTGCCCCTTCTCTATCTGCGAGATTGCCACAGGACCAAGCATGTTATCTGTGACAGTTAAGAGATGTACAGCCCCTGGTAAGCGCAAGAGGACATCTCTGGTTCTGCTGTCCTTCTGCTCATCTCTCCCTTCCAGAGATAGCTAATGCTCTGAGGCAGTCTACAGTTTTGCACCTTCCACTCAAGAAGGTCAGGGTAGGAGGAAGATGTGCAGGCAAGACAGATCGCAAACTGAGTTTTCTTGCTGCGCTTATACCTATAAATTCCCCACAGTGTAACCCTGTTTAAAATCATACTGTTCTGCAAAACACGTAAAGTCATGACAGATAATGTCCATTTCACATGCATTACAGCTTCTGACTGTATTAAAAATTATATTCCAGTCACTGAAAGTAGCTGTCTCTTGAACAGTTCCCAAAAATAACTGTCTTTACTACATAGGGTATGCAAATACCATTTCTTTTTATGTACATTGTGCCCTTTTCCACAGGCCTTTGCCAAACTGTCTTCTTTGGTCTTGCAAATACAGCAATTCTGCACAAAGGTGGGACAGTGCTTTCCTACCACATACAGCTTATATCACTCATGACAGACTTCTGAGTATCTGGTCTAGTACAATACGCCTTGGATATCAGAAACACTCTCAAGGTCTAATTAGACAAGGTGAAAATCTTTTGAGTTCAAGAAGAGATCTCAGAGCATCTGAAACATCACAGCTATAGGGAAGTTCCCATTCTTATGGGAAGAAAAACCTGTTTTGCTAGAACAATGGCCTGTTGAGTAAAAGGTCCTGGGTAAGCTCCTGGGAGCTCTCTGCATTTTCATTTCCTACTTCACCTTCAGAGGGGAACCGAGTGGACTTCAGGGAGTCCCCATACTTCACCACCCTCCTTTCTATGCTATTTTATCTTCAGATTTCTTCTCCACTTTCTCTCAGATAGTATGAGTACATGGAATTTAGTAACCCCGTCTCTTTGAGTAAGAGGAGAGACTTTGTTAAGCAAGACATACACTTACTCATTATAAATTTGGAGAAGCTTCACTGGTACAAGAATGCTTCATCTGAGTGTGTGGCTGTCTGAGAAATAAACAGTAGTTTAGTTTTTTTGCATGGAAAAGCATAAGCTGTCTCTGTGAGAACCGTTACGTGAATCTTCCTCTATCAGTTCTGTGTTACGAATTTCACAGTATTTTATATTCTTTTGCTCTCTTCAAGTCCATAAAACAGAAAAACCAGCTGGATTCATGAGGAACTTACTCAGTATCAGCAGAAGGTAAGCCTAAAATTGATTAATTTTTTCTTCAGCAGAGAATATTACTGCTGCCATTAAGAATTATTAGTCAAGGCTCCAGAGGATACTGATAATAATTAGGCCAGCTAAGGCGCACAAATAGAAATTTGAAGGGGGAAATCTGTCACTAGACACTTTGGCTGAAAAGAAAAAAACATAATTACTGTCTTGTTTGATACATAGACTGAACTTTTTGATTACTGGCTGATAAAGTAATTGTCCTCTTTTTTCAACATTCAGAGTCAATTTCAGAAATCTGTTAAGTGATTGTTACAGTGATAGCATAAAGCGCAGAGCCTATTTTTTCCTTACTGTGACCTACACCTCCTCTTTTAATTCCTGCACTAGCTGAAGTCTGGTGCAGCAGACAAGCCATTCAACTTTACCTCAATATTTCTACAAACTATACTGGATGGATGGATATGATTCATAAGTTGTCAGAAAGCTGTCCAACTGGTAATGTCCTCCCGATAGTCTAGCTTCATCCCCTCTGACCTTAAATGAGTACCACATTTGGAGCACAGCCAATCTACAACTCCTCAACAGTCAAATGAAAGAGATGCATGCTAATACAAAACATACATTCTGGAGGATAACAAAGCTTCTTAGAATTGAAATTCCTCCTAAAATTCTGAGATTTTTGACTTTAAGTCTGGAACTGCTATAAAAGGTAAAAATGATGGAGAGAGATACATTTTTTTCCTATAAGATAATTAGGTGCTTATTTGTGATAATTCAGACATTTCCACTGCTGACTGAAAAAAAAAAGACGGACGGCTCCTAATCGTCAGGCACTTACTACATGCTTCAAGTGTTCACAAATCTGACTGTCTGCAGTATTCAATGAGAAAGACTTTTCAGTGACTTCTTATTAATTGCTCATCTCTATTACTTTTAGTTTCTTCTAAAAGGCTTAAGATGGTGTATTTTTCCACAACATTGTAATTTTCCATTAGTTAAAAAAAAAAACCCTGCAATTTAAACAGAGGCTCAACTTAACCTGTTTGAGCTATTTTTGTGTTATAACAAGTTACCTTAGCACCTCAAAATATCTTGGCAAATCAAACTATCATCCTGATTCTATTAATGATATTCATCAGTTAGCTGTTTTGCAGACACAGAGGAAGATAGCAGGGACTTATATTTTTGACCAATGAGATGCAGACATTTAAAGAACATCTCAAGAATAAACAATAGATAAAATAGTTAATATCCTATTTTTCCACCAAGATATTTAAAACACTGCAAAGGACATCAAGAGTCTTACATATAAGCACATTGCTTGTGCTTGTTGGCTACTCTGTCAAGTTTTTGGTTGACCCAGAGAGACTCCATCAGGTCCTATTCTTGAATCAATATTATTTTCCAACTTTTCAGTGGAAAATAATTGCCATAGTTTTCCCTTGCCATAGTTTTCTATTCTTTGCAAAAGCATTTTGAGCTGTGTGAAAGAGTAAGCACCTAAAGTGCAGTCCAGCTTGTTAGAAATTGTTTTTCTCATATATAATCTTTTACTGTTGTCTTGGGTCTTGCTGTACTTTAAGCCTCTTGATCTTGCCACTGTACTGTTCACCTCTCCAAAGGAAGGCGGTCTCAGCTAGTTGCTTGAATTCATTTTTACACAATAAGCCTTTTTTATGACTGATTTCAGCTGTATTTGCATCTCCTCATTACCCTGCATGGTCATTAGTGTCTGCACACCAGCTGGCAACATACCTGTAGAAAGACTACCTCTGAGATATGCTTATGATTGAAGTAGAAAGAAGCTGATCACTAGGAAAACAAAGCATAAATAAATTTCACATAGCATGCAGTTACAGGGGTGAATGACTGCTAGCGAGCTGAACCTTTGTACAGAGAAATGGAGAAAGAAGACTGCATAGTTCCTATTAACAGGATTATATGACATGGGTAAAAATGCCTGTAATTCACTTACATACAACTTCTACTCTTGGTTTTTCCCCCAGATTGGTCTGCTGCAGAAGATAACAGTAACTTTGTTCAGCTTCAAATGTTTTATGGTTAAAAATTAACTAGATTGTTTTTAACCCTTTGCCCCACTCTTTGCTTGCACTACTCAAGGGAAGAATTACAGCCTTTACCAAAAGGGCATAGAAAATTTGCCCGTTGACATTAATATGGTCTGTATTCCCTCTCTGGGAAGCTTCTGGAAGAAACAATGTGCAATTTTTTACTCTGCATTTTGCATTCTATACTGTTTGTCTTGTTTCGTAGCCTCCCGCTCTAAGATGCTAAATCCTAATTATGTTCCAGATTACCAGTACCTCCTGTTACATCATTCAAGCCATTAATTAAAAAAATGAATTGAACTGAGCCCTTATGGAGTTTACTTGAGAAGCCCACTGAGTGAACCATAATGACTTTGCAAGCGCAATCTTTCAAGGCCTTGTGCACATAGCAACCTTGCTTATGAGAGTGCCCTCTGGGTTAGTGTCACAGGCCTCACTAAAATCAAGCTGTATCATATAAATTAGGCCACTGGCTGTATCAAAGAAGGAAATTACATTGGTCTAAAACAACCTGTTCTTAAGAAAGCCTTCCTGATGCTTTCTGTCACTTCATTACTCTCTACAGATATGCAAAATGATTATTTATCCGTTTGCTCCCTGGAGGCCGTGAGAGCCGTTGGCTTGCCTAGAAACCCTTCCTCCTTCCTCAAAGCCAGGCACCGTGCCCCTCCTCACCTTCCTCACCATAGCAGAGAGCCTCATGACTTTCATGAGGTTAACACCACTTCAAAGAGAGCTTTTGCTTTTTTTCTTAGGCAGGCACCCGTTTCATTTAACTACTCCTGAGCATGGTTTTGCAGTACCCCAGCCAGCACTTCTAGTCACACATTAAAAATAACTTAGGTAAGTATCTGGCATACACATATTATAAATACACGTAGGCATCTCACACTTCTTTTTTCAATGAAGCCTGACAGGAAAAAAAACACAGGAGCACCTCAGCTTCCTCCCGTTCACGTGCTATTTCCCAGTGGACCTCTACCTCCCATTTTCCCCCTCTTTCTGCCTGTTATTGGCACCCCTTTCCTCACGGCACACAGACCACGTCCCACCAACGGCCCCGCTCCCGTCCGTTAGCCGTTT